GTGGTAGATAGTCTGAAAATAAATTAAATTTTATGCTTTGAAATATGCACCTTTGATATTAATCGACAATTTATGATGAAATAAAATTTATGATAAGAATTTAAGATGAAATAAAATTGATGACAAAATTTCCAAACTTTTGAAATATGTGGCGGTTATGGTGCCTGCGGGTTGGGATGCACAACTCGCTATAAAGTGGAAATGCATACTCTAACTCTGGGCATTCAGGACAGATGATACACACAAATTTTTTCCTTGAAATAGATTTAATATCATGTCGTAAGTTTAGAAAAGTGGACGGTTCTTAGAATTTTTTCTCCTAAGAACTGGACAATGAAATAGACATTGAAAATATTAGTAATATTTCATTAAAAAAAACAAATATAGACAAATCACATTCAGTAAAGGTTTACAGGTGAAAACAAATTTCAGAATATGTTACCATGGTGCTAAAAGTGTAATATAAACTTAAGAAAAATATACCAATCCAGGTGAATTTTATTAGGAAAAGCGAAATGGTAAAAATCAGACTATGTGATATTGCTAATGCTTTGTCATTTTGTTTTTCCTCACAAAATTAACCTGGCTTGGTATATTTATCTAAAGTTTATATTGAACTTTTAGCTCCAAGGTAACATATTCTGACATTTGTTTTCATCTGTAAACCTTTACTGAATGTGATTTGCAAGTATTTGTTTTTTTTATTGAAATATTACTAATATTTTCCAAGTCTATTTCATTTTCCAGTTCTTAGGAGAAAAAATTCTAAGAACCATCCACTTTTCTAAACTTGTGACATGATATTAAAACTTTTTCAAAGAAAAAATTTTTTTGTATCATCTGTCCTTAAGTTACCAAAGTAAGCATGCTAGTATGTGTATAGTTATAATAAGCAATGATGCCTCTTTCAAAATTGTAATTTTCATGGCCTCGGCTTTAAAACACGATACAAATTCAATTGTTGGAAAGTTGTTAAATGATACTCAGGTTACCTAGCCCGTGCGCCTTTTGTTTATAAATATGAATATATCACATTTTTTACTTAAATTAGTTGAATTTGTTGTTTGAATATGTGTATATACCAAACTTGGATATAATTTGATCTTAAATAAAAAAAAAAGTTACAACAAAATTCTACGAACTCTCGCACAACCTGTCGTTAGGTTGAATCTGGACGGACAAAAGATCCATTTTGAACAATTGATACATTTTGCCAAGCTAGATTGTGTCCAAGATCTATCATGGAGCTGTCATTAAAAGTTTGGTCTCTAACCAGATACAACTGTTGGATACATAATTAAAGGGTTTTCAATTTAATTGCAATTAATTTAGTGTATTAGTTGGTTTTTGGAGACCATGTCTTTCAGCAATCTATTGGAATTCCCATGGAACTAATTGTGTCCTGTTTTTATCAGAGCAATTTTTGAATTTATATGAAGCACAATTTTGTGCCTTAAAAGAGGAAAACACATGCTGTAGCTGTCAACTTGACATTTATAGATATGACCGACGTTTTTCAAATAATAATACGATTTACACCGAACTTGAAATAAAAGATACCACTGTGTCTGACACATCTGTTTCATATCTGGATATTTCAATAGAAAAGACATTAAATGCTATTCTAACAACTAAGTTAACGTTTGTGATAAACTTGAGCTTTAACTTTGACTTTAACTTTTCAATCATCAACTTTCCTTACTTATGCAACAATATACAAAGGTCCTTGCACTCGAAAATACATTCTATCGTTTAGTTCAAATACTGATCGAAAGCATTAGCTATTTCAAATATAAAATTACAATACATGACAAACGTACAATGGTAAGTAATACTTGTCGATAGGGATGCTTTCTCCTTCATTGCTCCTGATCCTATTTCTAATTTTCAGGGATCCCAGCTGCTTACTCAAATTCAAAAATTGTATTCACTGCTTATTTGGACTTTTGAGCATAGTAGTACTTATTGTATATTCATTTTTCACATATTATCAACGAATTAAAAAATGTTAATTAATTATGTTATTGAAAACCTAGACATGTTTAAAAATAATAAAAATCTTAATCAAACATATATAGGAAAACCTAGACATGTTTAAAAAATACTTTTAATGAAGCCCTTAAGCTTCTTAATATATATACATGTATAACTATTACCAAGATCGTCTAAAATATATAAATGTACAAGATTTAAAATTAATATATTCTGCAACAATATTTCTCATAGACTGTAAAGGCGTTCGATAAAAGAAATGAATCTATATAGAATAGTTATTGCATATAGGTACTGTGGTTTCATCAATATTCGTTGAGCACCAATTTTCGTTGATTTCGTTGTTGAGCAGATCCACGAATTCAAATGTTCATTGATATACGAAATATGACATTCATTTGTATAGACAAAGCTTTTGTCCATGAAATTACGTATCCTCGAAAACGTCTGTTTTCCAACATCCACGAAAATATATGCCAACGAAAATTGATGAAACCACAATATGTTACACAGGCACCTGACGTGACCTATTCTTCTTTTAATAAAAAAAAATATACCCTTACATTGTAATGGTATATTTTTTTTATTAAAAGAAAAATAAGTAACGTCAGGTGCATGTGGTATATTAATATAATTATAATCCGACGTCATATAATTATTGAAATGAATTCAAAAACTTTATCATGCCTAATAATGTAGGGCAATTTACAACAACTGAGGACTTTATTTAATAAATAGTAGAGAGAGAGATTCTCTCTTCAGTTAAATACCTGCAAATGTATTTCATGCTTACTTATCAAAAAGATTGGCTAAAGAGCTAAGTACGTTAGTACTAGAAACAAATTCATTCCTTTTTGAGTATTGAAAATAAAACACCAGAATATCAATAAGGATGTGCACTTTATCAAATGAATATACATGTATGGCATTTCTGAAATATACCAGGTATATATTTCATTTTCATTGATCAAAGATTGGAATAGTTATCTTTGGTCTGACCTCTGTTAATTTAAGACCATTACGTTACGTTATTGAACGATTTTGTAAAAATATGGTTGTATATTATTGAATCCGATATTTCTCAGAAGAGTCCAATGATATTCGCGACTTTCATTTTCGATAGCAATCGATTTAAGTACTCGTTATTTTGTATGCTCACATAGTTGAATTTGTTGGATAAGAAACTATTCCACGTACAGCTTATTCACAGTTTTTTAATGATCATGTATATTTGATATTAACATGACTGTTTAACTGAGCGTTTAAAGACCATGGTCTGCGGTCATGTTCTTGTGTTGTAATATCTATTTACCAGGAAGATCTTGATATATTTTGACCAAAATTTATCCAGGTAGGAACTTTTTTTTACTAGTGCCTTTAACCATAAACCATACGTAGACCTAAAGCGAAACATTATAAGATAAGCATTTTCATATCATTTAAGCATTAAAAAAAATCTTTCAATATGTTAAGATTTTACCCCCCAAATACCCCCAAATCATGCACATTTCAACTAAACACCGTTACAGTACATGATAAATATTTATCTGCCTACTTAATCTCATAAAATTGCAGGATTCGTCATAAAAATGCTTAGTTGATAATAGGCTGGTTGCATTCTCAGTATGGTTATAGGATATTATATACGTACGTTTTACGAGTTGTCATAAAATATTTACTCACTTTGATTAAAAAAAGATATATTTTATTCGAATTTTTGGAGAAATGTCAATGAGAAAAAAGTCTGAACTCGTAACAACGAAAGGTGAAGTGCAGTTCCACCTTGAAGTAGCCACTTTCATTTTCGTTCTAGTTTCTGTGAGATAGTAAATTGCTCAATATACTCATATCTTTTTAATTATTTTAGCTGAATGAATAAATTCAATAGTTTAGTTGTAAGATAGTCTACTGTATCATCTTTTTTTTTTTATAAAAGGCATTTAAACTGCTATTCGGTTTAATTATTGATGCATTGCATAAATTATTTATAAGTATAGAAAGCGGAAAAACCCAACAGACAGAAATATCAGTTTTCGGTTTTCCCGATAGTTCATAGTTCTATTTTATCTTCTAAATGTGATGTAGGTAAGTTTTGTTTGTTTTATATTGAAAAGTTAATGAACGCATACAAATTTTGATATTTTTCAAGAATTCATATGAAAAATAATTGTTAGTTATATATCATTCTTATGAACGCTTGCGGATCTTACCTTTCAATTGCACTTTAATTGAAAAGTGTTTAGTTAATTAGAAAGGAATGTATATTTTTTTTAAAAATATAGTCAAAAACTTGTTAGTTGTAAAACTTCGCATTGAAAAATGTTTAAATTCTAAAGACTGTTTTTTATGATTTAGGAAGTTGAGATGAACTTAATGTTCAACGCCTTTAGCAATAGTTCTCTTTGTTACTGAATTAAATTAAGTAAAGTTTTATTTATTTGTCCGGAGGAAACCATTCAAGTATATTAAATAAATTATCACTTGGACAAATGGGAATGACATAAAACTCCTTTTTCTTACTTTTTAAAGAAAAATCAAATTTAACTAAAATAAATGAAGACACCACTAACTCAGCCAAGAAGTTAGGACAATATAGAACAGAGAAAGTGATTTATAAAATTAATTTAAAAAATAATTTGATGTTGATTAAGATACATAATTATGAACCCGACTTTTTTTTCCTTCAACGTGATACAGAACAAAAATGCTTTTTCATTTCAACAGGTAACACTTATCTCAAAATCAAATTCATTTCCCTGTTTGAATGAACATAGTGAAATAAACAGGAATATACGTGTATGTAGCTGAATATAGTTCTTTTTAAAAGCTAATAAATAAATAGGAATATACTCAATTCTGTTGGAAAGCTCAATAATTAATATGTTTGATGCGGAAAAAAATCATGATTGTTAAAAGTAATGTACCAGTTTAAGCAAAAACTTCCCCAACGAAGTGTTGTTAATATCAGTAGATACAATTTTAGATTGTAGATAGAAGTAATAAAACAGGGGATTCCCTTCTTTACAGATTCGACAGAGAGATATGGCTGACAATCGTCAGATCTGTACAACACATGATTATATCTACAGAACCAAAGACCGAATAGGCACGGGGGCATTCTCCCATGTTTACAAGGGGGTCAATAAGGTAAAATATCTCTCTCTCCCTTTCTCTCTCTCTCTCTCTCTCTCTCTCTCTCTCTCTTTCTATCTCTGTGATCATTTTCAATAACATAAATCTGAAACATCAGAAATGTAAAAGATAATAGATGTACAGATCTAGAGTAGTTTTACAAGAGAAATATTGGTGGGGAGGACATATTTTCAAAATTATTATTTTTCGATATTCATACTATAAAAAATCGACTCAATAAGCAATGTAGCGATACCCAAAGTTCAAACCTGACCGACTCGTATGCAATCAGGTATTGGCTCCGGGGCCCTAAAACCTAGACAACGCAACTTTTGTTTTCAGTCTCACTTTGCCACGTACCATATATTCCTTTTTGTGAAAGTGAAACTGAGATCAAAACTGGGCACGTCTTCGTTTTATGGTCCCGAAACCTCTAGTTAATTACTAATTTAAAATAAATCACTTATTCAACTTTCCATTACTTATTACAGACTACAGGTGAAATATATGCGTTCAAAGTTCCCAGAAGCGGAAATACGGCAGTGGAACAGGAGAGAGAGACACTTGCACTAACCACACTAGAACATGTCAATATAGTCAGATTATATGATATACAAACTGAGGTATATACCTTTATTTATACAATAGTTAAAATAATTTATTCATACAATGATTAAAACAATATAGCAGGAAATGACGTTATACATTTCGTAACGGTGTTATTATTATATATCTTATGTACCCATTTTCTCGTGTATTAAAACCTCTTTTGAATATAAAAAGAGGCTTTTGTACCAGCAATTTCGCAATGTAGACTGATTGTCTGCAGGTCATTTCTAAAACTAGTATTACACTATTTTCATACCACCGTTGCAGCGTGTTCTAGTAACACACTGTGCCAATGCCCTTTGTGGTGATGGATATAATATTCTTATGTTGTAACTTGATTTGCTTTAAGCATTTTGTTAATTCATATTGTTAATAGATAGCGGTGGGATAGTTTGTGTAAAAGATTTATGTTTTGTTTTTGAGACTAGTGGTAAAACGATCTTTGTAATAAGGTTTTAAAAAAATGTTATATTATATTCTTAAAGTGACAATTGTATACTAAGCAGTATACGTTTAATTCTTTTTGAAAATTGATAAGGCAGACTGTTCTAGAATAAATTTTATATTGAAATGATCTTTTTTTTAAGGTTTTAGAAATTCAGAATGACTTTGTTCATTTTTTTTTATGTTCCTGTTGTTTGATTAACAGTAAAGTACATGTACTGATTTGCGATACATTTTACATACATGTATATAATCTTGCTGTAAGCTAATAGTGCTAGGATGGTTTTTGTTAAATATTTTTCTCTTAAAGTATGCGTTGTAAGAAGTAGGTTAGTTTACACAATACGTTTATTGAAAATAGTTGTAAGATTGTTATCTAAAAATAAGTTAACTTAGCTGAAAACTGAAAGAGTTAGAATTGATTTTTGCAAAACAATCAATCTTATAATCTAATAGAAGAAGAATGCTTTACGTAGTTAAGTATAGATCACATACATGTGTACATTTTTGTTGATATTGGTAGAATGATATTGTAAAAGGTTTAATGCATTTAAAGGTTGATAGTAGAAGAACTGTTTTTGTAATGGAATATTGTCCACGAGGTTCGGTACTCAGTCTGCTGGAGGAACCAGAGAATCACAATGGACTTCACGATAACGACGTCATCACATTAATCAGTAATTTAGGTAGGTGACTTATACATAACGATAATGATGTCATTACATTAATCGGTAAGTTAGGTAGGTAACATTAACATAACGTTAATGATGTCATCACATTAATCAATAATTTAGGTAGGTAACATTAACATAGCGATAATGATGTCATTACATTAATCAGTTATTTAGTTAGGTAACTTATACATATTATAATAATGTCATTACATTAATCAGTAATTTAGGTAGGTAACATTAACATAACGATAATGACGTCATTACATTAATGAGTAATTTAGGTAAGTAACTTAAACTCACCGATAAGATGATATAATTACTTTAATCGGTTATATAATGTAGGTTCAGGTAACGTGTATTTGAAGATAATAATATTATTTCATCTACTTTGTAATTTAGTAGATACTGACGTCGGTAATTAAGGTAGGTAACATTAATATAAAGATACTGATGACATTTCATTCATCAGTAATTTAGGTAGGTAAAGTTTACATCTTGATCATGGCATCATTACATTTATCTGTAATTTAGGCAAGTAATATTTACAACACGATATTGACGTCGTTACAGCCATAGGTGATTTAGATATGTAACATTTACATCAACTTAAGCAAGTAATAAATATCATTACAGTCAGAGGAACTTTATTTAAGTAACATTAGTGTCCCGTCAATAGCATGTTTTAAGTAGGTACTACATATCGCCATGTGATTTTTTTCCATCTGAAAATACATAAATTATGATCTAACGTTTCCTGTTTTGTTATCTTATCAATAAATTAATGTACAGAAGCAATAGTATAAACTTAGATACATATATTACTAGGATATTGACAATAATTAGAATCATTTTGATTAAAGTTAATTACAATGATTAAAGTTGATAACAATCTTTTAAACTCTGATTTTACTCAGTCAAGGTGGTATGCTAACATTTATCCATAGACGCATACCATTGTGTTATATTCATGGCTTGTAATATTGAAATCAAAGTTCAACAATAAGCTGTATTTGAAATACAATTATACTACATTGTAATTTGAAAAAAAAAATCACATTGGACTGTTAATAACACGTTTCTTGTTCAATGAAAACGAGGATGTTCGAATTGTTTGTGTATCACCTAAAGTATATTAATCAAACACGTTCTTTGCATTTGTGACAATTCAAACACTTGCTTCCTCTTTCAGCATCTGCGTTAAAATACCTGACAACTATGGGTTTTGTTCATCGAGATATCAAACCCGGAAATATACTTGTCTCCGACACGGAACTAGGAAGGTAAAAAGTTCAAGGAAACCGTTATCAATCACTTTGGTAAATATGTGAAATAAAAATAGTTATTTGTGTCCCGTGATGTGCTATTTTTAGTTAGTAATCTAGACGAGGAGGCGGCTACTCTATTTGAAACAAGGGGAAACTGATCTTGTCATAATAGGAGGGAAATTCTTTTTTTAACAGAACAAGATTTTTTTTACTTTGTTATAGCTATATATAATGATACCTAAAACAGTAGCACTTGACTATTTTTTTTTAAATATGATCATTAAAAATAGTCATTTTAAGATTTTTAAGAAAACAAAATACAAATGTATCAGACACTGATGATTGCATTCTGTAATATTTACAGGAAGATTTTTAAATTGAGTGATTTTGGATCGTCTAAGTACATACAAGAAACGAATGAGTACGAGTCTCTAACAGGAACAGAAGAATACTTAGTAAGAATTCCCTAATTCATACACTTAAATATGGGATAAAAAATTATCTATAGGGAAAAGAAAACGCCCATTTTACACAAAGAATTTGGAAAACCCAATACTAATACTAATACATGTAATATAATCTTAAGAAACATTGGTTCCTTGAATAGATTTGATTTACATTATTTATTATTAATAAATCATTTAACTTTGAAATACTGAGTATAATGCTTAGCTTAGTGATAAATTATACTTTTAACCCTTGAGAGTAAAATGTTTGTTAATTATTAAACGTCTTGATGTAATATATATTTTATATTGAAGTGCATTAAACAATACGTATTGTCTTTTTTGTGAATAGCATCCTATTATTTACGAGCGGGCGTTTATTGATCGAGGGTTACGGGGGCGTTTTACCTCATCAACTGACCTCTGGAGTCTTGGTGCCACCTTAGCTCACGTGATTCTGGGAGAGGTCCCTTTCAAACCTTTCGAGGGATCTCGAAAGAACCGAAACGAAATGTAAGTTTTTCATTATATATTGAATGGCATAAGACCCTCGTGAGAAAAACAAATCTTTACAATGGACTGCCTTCACGATTCTAAACAGAGGACTCACGTGGTAAAAAACAATCTATGGGAGATCCTTCCTCCTTCAAGGCACCTGATTCACCTCTGAAACTTCCTTGTTCATGTTCTATTTAAAGTTTTGTTTTGTTTACAATATTCTGAGATCGATAACAGTTCGTTATCTTTGTAATTTTCTATAATTAAAATTTAACACAAACAATATATGATTCTACGTGTAAATATTCTTGAGATATACATGATATAGTTAGTAAATAGAGTAATAATTTGATCACCGTCAATTTATGATTTTTTTTTCTTCTTAACAAATATTTTTATAAAATTATATGATTACTTAATAATATGCAAATTTTAAATGTTTTTATTTTATTTACTGTACTTTACAGTGCATTTACATGAATACAACATACAATAAATTGCATTAAATTTAACTTGTACTTTCATTTTGTTTTTTGGCACTTGCTTATATTTATTCTTACATTGGCTTTAAAAATAACTACTAAATGTTATGTAACTAAGAACACCAAGGTCTCTTTACTTCCTGATATCACAAGTAAGAGAGAAATTTGAGATAAGTGTATACAGATTAAAACCTTTCAATGGTAAAACCACTTGAAAGTTTAAATGACTTTTAAAGAATATAAACATCATCAAATGAATGGAATGGAGAACCGTGGTACAATTTAATGAAAAGCAAATCTAAGAGCTTTGTCTTTATATAAATTCTGGCATGCGTGCGCTTGTAATTCAAAATTTTATTTTCTTTCATGTAACAAAAATAAATATTTAATTTTGATCTAGGTTTATAATGATCTCCAGAAAACCAAATAAAGCGATATTTGGAAGACAGGGTACACCGAATGGGCGGATCCAATATTATGACGTAATTCCTCGTCACTGTAATATTTCTAGGTGAGTCAAAAATAAGTAAGAAGTGACCCAGCCCTTTAAATACTGTTTCCCTACTTTATAATTCTTATATTTAATTTGCATAATTAAAACTGCGCACCCATAACTTACACACTCAACGTTTTGGCTGTTTTAAACCAAATTTAATCTTCAGAATATTGTTTGTGCTTTTCAATAAAAATGTTTAGAAAAATGTAATCCTGCCGTTAGAAGAAAAAACAAATATCTGAAATGTCTTTGTCTTTACTATTATACTTTTATGAAACATTTCGTCTACGTCCACTAAAACAAAACATATATGTTTAGATGAGATATGGAGCTAAATCCTCCCGTGAACCTTAATTGGTCAAATTTATAAAGCTACACCGAAGAAATATTAATTTTGTTCATACTGACCGTGGTTCCTCCGAAGAAGATATCATGTTTGACCCAACCTATTTTTACCGTCCAATCTATACAAAATGAAAGGTGTCACTCTGTTTATTTATCCATGTAATTTTATTTATTACACACTTAGTAATAAACACAGTTTTTTTGCATATACGATATGGCTGACGTCACAATAGCCGTATCAGCCCTGCAGGGCTGATACGGCCATTGTGACGTCAATATCACACCCATAGTAACTTAAACCATAAAAACAGTACTTGTGATCATACACAATTTTTGGTGGGTTCATATTCTCTTAATTTTAACTTTTTGAAAATAAGGTTAATCTTAATTTACAAATACATGTAATAGATTATTTTCAAATTACGGATCGAGTGCACTGAAATAGAAGTAGAAACAAACCAAATCATATGAGACAATAGACCATGTACATGTATGTAAGAAGTCCATGCATAATTATTTACTTATTTTTTTTCTCAACTTAATGCATGCTGTATTTTATTACTAACTATGTAATAAACATATTAATACATACCCTTTTCCACATCACATCCTGTATCAGCCCTCGACCAATATCGGCCCTCTGGCTGATATTGGCGTCTCGGGCTGATACAGGATGTGATATGGAAAAGGGTATGTATTATTCTCTATATACATGTAGCAGTTACCTTTTCAAGTAATATTTTTTTTCAGTGGATTGAGGAAGCACGTGATCTCCATCATCCGGGGTCTTTTGAGAGCAGATTCATCACAGTGGACACTTGATACGTATTGTCATGAAGCTGGTCACTTGAGCAACCTGAAACTCCATGTGGTTTTAGAAGCGCAAACTTTAACATGTCACCATATTTATACAGAATCCTCTCGCACGTGTGTAATAAATATTGATTTGTAAATATTCATTTGTAAAAAGTTAATTTCATGAGTTTCAAACACATATGCAGCTTTATCTTAAAAGACATGCTATGTTTTTTAATTGAATTTCAACGTTGTTTTTTTTTTCTAATTTGAAGTACAAAAGGACATTTTATCAAGCTCCATGTTTTTAGTAAATAATTATCAAGTAGCAGTATAAATTTTGTGTTTTTCAGCATAAACGGACTTCTGCAGTCTTTATCAGAAGAAATGGGCTTAGTCACAACAGAAATAAAATCTTGTATTTATTACCATGGTCGTTTATTAAGTGATATTGTTACAAACTCTAATGACTTGGTGTCTGTTTTACCGAAATCTTCAAAAGAAAGACCATTTGTTTTAATGTCCTCCATATTCAAGTCTTCTGATTGGTCCAATGCAGACTCTGTGATATGTAAGTCAGATTCATATTTACAAAGGTTTAATGACTTTAAGGGACATTTAATATAAAATTTTGAAAATTTAAACTTAACATTTCAACATGCAGACAAAGCAAAATATAAAACATAAATATTTTAAACATAAGATATTTTTCTTGTGCCAAAAAATGTGTTCATATTGAAAAACAAAACCGTTTGAAAAAAAGTTCAAAAGTTTATGCTGTCTATAAACTGTATTCAAAAATTAATAACTAAAGCAAAATATAAAAATTAAAAATTTTTTACAAAAGATATTTTTTTTATAAATAAACATATCTTCATATTGAAAAACAAAATCATTCAAAAAGTTCAAAAGTTTATGCTCTCTATAAACTGTATTCAAAAAATATTCTATAACATGTACAAGTATCGAGATATCCAAAAAAGAGTTCGTACCTTTTTTTTTAAAGTTTTTGGCCTCAGACTTGTTGTAATGATTTTGTACTACAGCTTCTGTACATCCCTGTCCGGACTCTGCCAGTGCTACTGAGGAGAGGAAGAAGGTCAGAGGTCAACTGACCACAGCCTGGACATTCATGTCAGTGACGGAACAATTCTGTTCAATAATAAATGCCCTTCGTCAGACCGTGCAATACAAAATGTAAGTACATGTATATAGTTATCGATTAATTTTTTGTCTTGAAATTTTCCTCATTTTTTTCTTTTTAGATTATGTCAATAAATTACTCAAATTATACATACTAGCTTTAATCATTAATTTTTGTTGCTATTTTGTAGCGATTCCATGGTTAAAATATGTTCAACGTTCGACATAAAACTTGAAGCCTGTGATGAACTGTTTTCTACAGACGCAGATCGTTTGAGTTTGTGTCAGACACTCCCCTTAGATCCGTCCATGTCTGATTATGTAGAGAAAAGAAGACAAGCCGCTCTTCAAAGGAAAATTCACGTATGTTTACATGATAAAAAGAATGGCAATGGATTTCTAACGCTGAGGAAAAATGTCCAATATGAAACAACAACTTCTTTATGATCAAGATCTTTTTATGCTTTATGTTTTATTCGATGTATATTTTATATAAAGATAGGAAAACTTCGGCAGGAAATCAAATCATTGTACACCAACCTAACGTCCACGATCAAATCACTCCAGGATGATACATATTGGAATACAAATGAATCTAGAATCAATGACATGTAAGTTATATTCTTATGATTTTCTAAATTACGTTTTGGAGGTTGATTTTTTCAGAAGTCAATATAGCTTACAGTTTAAGAAAATGAGAGATTATATACATTTAATTTAACAGAAAAGAAAAAGCACTTCATTACTTTCATAAAATGGACAAACTTTGGAGACAGGTGCGTGACAGGAAGTTAGGAAATGTGAGCATGGAAGAAAATCAACTTAGAATGGCAGAGCGGTAAGCAGAAAGAGATAATTCAAAGCATACTTAATATCATAACGATGCCAAAATGATTCAAGATTTCATTGAAGTCTTGTCTTTATGCTAGCAAACTGTTTATGAATCATTTCACTCCTAACAGAACAGAAACTCTTAGCTGGGGATTGGGAAAGGCGGTATTTGCTATGAAAGAAAATCAGAATTGTTATTTAACGACATGTACAGATGATACAAACTTTTGTCATAAAAATTGAAAATAACAAATTGAGTCATGTTTTATCTAGTAAAATGATTACGTTTCACCACGTAGTTTTTTTAATTCTTAATTTAAAGTTTCTCAACAATGGCATTTTAAGTTAAGAAATATTTGTAAAGACTAATAAAGATGGTTGCAGAAAGGTAGAATTTTGAACATCAGAGAAGGTTTACAATTTCTTGATATTTTAGAAATTTATGATTTGCGTCATTTGGAACAAAAATAAACCAAGAAATATATACCAGTCCTGACATCCATTTTTTTGTTTGTATCATCTGTCCTTAAAACCTCTTCCATTCTATGGTTCTTAATTATAATTGCTTTATTTTCAGACATCACCTACAGGCTGTTTCTAGATGTATTACGTTAGAATGGAACTCTGCATTAAACCCTTTAAAGGATGATATTGTTCAACATATACGAGCCTGGATTAGGTACAGATCTGATTTATCGTAGCTGGTCTCTTTAAGAGCATTTTAGTAACTGTGCGAAATAAAATATAAACTCGAATTTCTATGTACACGATAGTTTTGATGCCCATTTGCTTTATTATTATAGGAACTACTTCAGCTGCCAGGAAAAACTTGGAAATCTAGAGAAATACTTCACAAGTATAACCAATATACGAAATAAATTTACTGAAGATATAGTATTTGTGAGTAGCTCTATTCATTTTGGATGGCTTTTTGAAAGTTAAAGAAGGATACTCCAAAGAATGCTACATCCTCGTATGTATTTTGTTCTCATATGTTATTATTATTGTATTTTAGGTATCTACATATTCACTGAAGCCAAAGCATCTTCTAACATCAGGGTACGTTATAAAAATACTCTTTAAATATATTTATTTAAAGTTTAACTTTAAAAAATTGTGTCGATTTAAATTTATAAAAGTGTTTTCTTCAAAATAGTCAGTATTATGTCTGATTAAGAGGAATTATTCCCTTAAATAAATTATGATTTTCAACATAATATTCGAGTTGATTTCGATGATTTAACGACGTTGGACCCTGATACCGGTATTTGAAGTCTTAAACTTTTTTTGCCAAGTACATGTATATTTTCAGTTTCTACATACATAGCCTAATTACAATTCAAATCAAAATATAGGGGTCAATATGCTTCTTTTGGCGCTAAAGTATATTTAATATGGCCTTTTTGCACTGAAATTTGTGTCTTAATTAAAAATTACATCTTCGACGTTTTCCCTCCAATATTTTTATCCAATTAAAGCAAGAAACAAAATGAACTCTAAGTCTTTTTGTAAGGCTCAGTTTCAAATTGCTTCGCATAATCAATTATTTGACCTTTTCTGGCATTGAAAATTTAATAAGCAAGAAAATTATTTTAAAGTCTTAAATTTTTCTGAATTTGAGAAAATAGGCCAAAGATATCTTAAATATTTAGAAAATAACATCAAAAGTTGGGGTATATGATGTAAATTTTCAGATATTACTAAAAAGTATCAATTTTACGTTAAAATTGGCGCAATTTTTCCCGGATTTTGAGAATATATTAACTATATTTGTCACACTTCGTTGAAAGAATTCATAAGAAATAATTTAATAGATATTTCAGAACCAGCATAACACATTTCACTGCAAAAAACAGCTTTGTGTGCAACCAGCATGGAAAAATATGAATCTAAAATTAACAGTACTGTTATAGTTCAAAAGGGAAAAACTGATCATTTTCTTCTAAAAAAAAAACCTTTCGCCACAAAATATAGTCCCTAGCTTAATTCTTCTTGAATGGAATTTAATCGCGGGTTTTTCATTGAATATAGTTCAATTTGCATTGTAGAATTCTGATATAATGTTAGAACTTAAAAATGATACAGAATTTTATGAATAAAGGACAGGACAAAAAGCCACTCAAAGGCTCAGGATAGAACGTCCTTAATAATGTTTTTGATAACTCATTTAATCTAGATTTATTTTTGGACGGCTAAAGATAGAAACAACTCTTTTAAATTGTAGTTTATTCTGTTATAGGAATGGGCTGACGGCAGGTATTCTGAGTGAACATAGATCTAACACAGAAAGGTAAATGTAGATTTCTGATGATCGATCTTGAAATGAAAACTGAACATGTAGCTATATTTGTAAAGTAAGCCTAGTAACAAATTGTACATGTAATTAGTTATCATACTTAAGAATGCACATAAGTCAGACTTATTAAGGATAAACTTAATATATAGACATAAAAAAGCAAACATGGAATCAATCTATTATTGTTATAAAGCTGAGACTTAGTACCAAATGCTTAATATGAATTGAAAAAGTAAAATCATGCCAGATAATAAGATCATAACCAGTACAGAAACGATGAAAAAAATAATCAGTATTTTTTTCACTTTATTAATAACTTAAAAAGCAACAGGATATTTATACGCTTTTCATGCAAAGTAATATATGAGAGGATAAAAAATATAGTTATACAATAAAGAGTTGTGTTATATAATATGGATATATTGATGAATGTGCATCTGCTAGGTTTTTCCTGTCAATCATGAGTTCAAAGAAGTAAAATATTTTTTGTTTCCTGTTCCTTCAATCAAGGTTGATGAACTTGATATCAGACATAAAGATGCTGGCAATGACAGAAGAGGACGTCCCTGAACTTAAAGGAGATGACGACGTCTATCTTTTTGGTTGACTCAGAACTAGACACGTGTTATTCACGTGATTCAAATCGAACATTTCCTCCGCCCCGGGTATGGAAAACCAGAAAAATCACGTATAGATCATTGGTAGGGCTCACTGACAAATAACAAGACAAGAAAAGGTCATATAAAGGTGGATAACTGTGGTTGTGTTATTCAGGGAAAATCATAACACCGTCGCTCTTTAATTACACTTTACAATTAGGAATAGATTTGGTAGACAAACTTGTTTGAAAAATCTACTCATAATAAATCAATTTCTTAACAAAAATTTAAACTGTGATAACTTGTCAGATTTTTTTTATTTAATAGATGTATACATATTTATGTAAACTGTTATACGGAAATTTCAAATTATGTGTTAATTAAGGTCTTAAATGTTACAAATAAGCTATTTTTTAATATACTGCATATATACTATTCAATTCAATCTTATAGGAGTAAATATATTGTTTCTGTTGGTATACATTTCCGGACCTTGGAATAAATTGTGCTTATATCTCTTATTAGAATCTTATAGAATATTTGTTGGGCTTTCAGTTTCCGACATAAAGTGTTAAATGTAACAAATTTATAGCATAATTCAACTCTATTGCAAACATAACATAGTCATATCCTTGCAAAACTTCTTTATGCTGATAAAGTTTTTTGGAGCAAAATGGACACATATTTTACTCAAATACATTTCTAGCTTCATGTAAGAGGCCCTTAGAACAGCGTGTTATAAATGCATGAACTAGGTGATACCCTGATCGTCTCGCCCCGTCTGTAGTAGGATGATAGATAATTGTAAAGGTAAATAGAAAAAAAAGCTTACTTGGAGAGGTTCTAACTCCACCTTCTCTACTTAATCAAGGATACATTGTCAGAAGTATGGTATCTTCATCTTTGTTATTATTTTTTATTTATTATTTTATTGTTATTTTTCTTTTCTTCATACTTTTTAGTTGCAATAAAATTAAAATCTGTTGGGCATACGGCCTACACGTCTCATCTTCTGAGTATAAATAACACTTACTATTAATATAAATTAAATAAACTTCTTAATTGTTTTACATCATTGAGATAAATTAGTGGTTTACCTTAACATTTATTTCTCATATTTTTGTACTTGTACTGTATACATGTATCTCCTAAATCTTGATGAATATGTAAGTAGACATTATGTGTAAATTTCACTATTACCATAAATGTGCATATTAAGCGATTATGATTTAAATTTTCAGATGAACAGCTATTTCTTCTCATCTAATTTGGCAAAACTAACTGAAGTATATGTGTACAGGAAACTTTGTTCATTAACACCTTCGGAGGAGTTGCTCCTTCAAAGATTGCTCAAAAAGATTTTTCAAGTAAACTATGCAAAAAACCATCATCCATTAAAACAAAGGGCTTCAAAAAAAAAGGGTTCCAAACAAACTTTACTGGACAGGATGGGTGATTTTCCCACCGTGCATATGGTATTTTAACAATAAATTTTAAAACCAACATACAGTCATTAAAACCATCGTGGCTGTGGGTAAATTGTGCGACAATGGGTAATATTTTCCTGTCCTAGAAAAGCAGGGTTGCAAATGGTCATACAAATATGTACACTTTCTCATAAAGGAAACTCCATAGCTAAACCGTATTGTATTTGTGGGATTTAATTAAAAATAAAAAAAATAAATATGTAAAACTATTCTATAAAGTCAGGATAGATATAATATTTCATAAACGTTCATCTAATAGGAGTGTTCTTTTCTTCCTATCATTAATTAAAAGACATGTATTTGTGTTCCTTAACAGTCAATTAAGATTGAAAAACTTTTAATTAATTTACATTAAAAATAAACACGCTGTAAATGTCAGACGGGTACTTCAAATATAAAGAAATTAAAGAGCTGATAAAACATGTTGTGATTCATATCAAACAATTCCCTTAGACGTCTGGGAAATCAGAAGATTCAATGACCTTTGGACTGATTTAATAATTATTATTAAGACAAGGAAGCTTCTAGTTGACGTTAAGGACGTTCGATCCTGAGCTTTTGAGTGAATTTTGGTCATGTCCTTTATTTAAAAAATTCTGCATCATTTTTAAGTTTTAACATTAAATCTGGATTCTACAATGCAAATTGAACTATATTCAATGAAAAAACCGCGATTAAATTCTATTCAAGTAGAATTAAACTTGGGACTATATTTTGTGGCGGAAGGTTTTTAAGACGAAAATGATCAGTTTTCCCCTTCTGACCTATAACAGTGCTGTTTATTTTGGATTCCTATTTTTCCATGCTGGTTGCACACAAAGCTGTTTTTTGCAGTGAAATGTGTCATGCTGATTCTGAAATATCTATTAAATTATTTCTTATGAATTCTATCAACAAAGCTAGATAAATATATGCTACATGTATATATTCTAAAACTCCGGGGAAAAAATTAGCCAATTTTAACGTAAAATTGACACCTTTTCAGTAATATCTGAAAATTTACATCATATACCCCCACTTTTGATGTTCTTTTCTAAATATTCAAGATAACTTTGACCTATTTGCTTAAAATCAGAAAAAGTTTAAGACTTTAAAATAATTTTCTTGCTTATTAAATTTTCAATGCCAGAAAAATCTCATTTTATTAGTGCAGAAAGGTCAAATAATTGATTATGCGAAGTTAGTCACAATTTTAAAGTGTCTTTTTTCAACAAACTTAGAGTTCATTTTGTTTCGTGCTTTACTTAGATAAAAATATTGCAGGGAAAACGTCGAGAATGTAATTTTTAATTAAGACACAAATTTCAGTGCAAAAAGGTCATATTAAATGTACTGTAGCGCCGAAAGAATCATATTGACACCCATTTTTTTTTTTATTTGAATTTTAATTAAGATATGTTTGTAGAAACTAAAAATATACTTGGCAAAAAGAGTTTAAGACTTTAAATATCAGTATCGAACGTCGTTAAACGCTGAGAATAGAAAATGAAAATAAACAAATGTGTTTGTGAAACACTATGCGCCCGGCGGCAACGAAGTTCGAAAAAAAAGATATTTTTAACATATAGGTCACAGTCAAGGTCACAAGGTAATTGATCTTGGTGTCCTTTGAAAGAACTTGATTAGTGAAGTACCCATACCAATATGAAGTCTCTATCTCTCGTGGTTCAAAAGTTATGGTGAAGGTTCAAAAAAGATATTTTTAGCATATAGGACACAGTCAAGGTCACAAGGTTATTGACCTTGGTGTCCTGTGAAAGTGCCTAATTAGTGACGTATGCATGCTAAATATGAAGTCTCTATCTTTCTTCGTTCAAAAGTTATGGCGAAGGTTAAAGTTTGCAGACAAAAAAGCTATGTTTAGCTAATAGGACACATTCAAGGTCACAAGGTCATTGACCATGGTGTCATTTAAAAGAACTTTATCAGTGGTGTATGCATACCAAATATAAAATCTCTGTCGTTTATGGTTCAAAAGTTATGGCGAAGGTTAAAGTTTGCAGAAAAAAAAACTATTTTTAGAATATAGGTCATAGTCAAGGTCACAAGGTAATTGACCTTGAAGTCATTTAAAAGAGCTTAATTAGTGGATTTAGCATACCAAATATGAAGTCTCTTTCATTCATGGTTCAAAAGTTATGGCGAAGGTTAAAGTTTGCAGACAAACAAACAGACAGACAGACAGACAGGACAAAAACAATGGACGCATAGGATCTTTCGATCCGGGCGCATAAAATAAATATAAATAAATGTAGACCTACATGTCTAGCTTAAACTAAGAATCGTGTGTCCTTGGCTTGTCTAAGTTTTAGCTTGTTACATTCAAACAAACCAGCAATCTATTGAAATTGTAAGTGAAACTGGAATTCTAGGTATAACATATGTAACTTGCTATATTATATTGAAAAAAAAAAACGCTTGGTAACATAATTTGCAAATTAAGTTTGACTGCGAAAAAAACTGGTCAGAGGTACACTGTACGTCTTGGTAACTGAATCAGTCTTCAATATTAATATGTTTGGAATTGCTCCTTTAGATGTTACACAAAAAGAGTTTCATGCTTGTTATACAAGAAAGCCATACTAGTAATCTATTAAAGAGTTCCAAACAAGCTTGATTGGACAGCAGGGGATGCTTATCCCACCATGCATATGGCATTTCATACAATATTTTTCTAGACCAGGGTCAATATGGGTCCATGAAGCGTCTGCAACAGGGGGCAAAATAGCGTTAATATTTCTTCCTCCCCAGGAAAAACAGGTTACAATTGGTCATACAAATATATACTCTTCCTCATGTTGGAATCCACATTGCTAGAACTCATTTTATTTGTAGTATTGAATTAAAAATTAAAGTAATTACGTAAAGCAATTTTCTAGGTCATAGTAGATAATATTTTTTAAACAAACATCTACGAGGTTATTTTCGTTCCAGTTCAAAGACATGTGGGTTTTTATTATTTCTTTATTGTCAATCAAGTTTGATGAAATTTTATTGGTACTGAAAAATTAACACGCTATAAATTTTAGACGATTTAATATACCATTAAGAGATGAAAGAGCTGATGACAACATGTGATTCAAATCAAACAATTCCTCCACACGCCTTGGAAATCAGAGAATTCCATGATCTTTGGCATGGTTTAATGAATATTAATAACTAGAAAGCTTCTGGTTGAAGTTAACCACTGAAAATAAAAATTGAATGCACATGTAGTTATGGCAAAGTATACATTTTTTTATTTACAGATTCTAATACATGTACATAGTTTTACCATACATATTATTATACATTTTCTGTAGATTTTTTTATGAGAGAGAGAGAGATAGAGAGAGAATACAGAGAGAGGGGGGATAGTGAGATAGAAAGAAAACAATAACAAAAACAGATTCTTCAAGGGTTTTCAGGTTTCGTCAAAAGTCACCTGATAATTGTTCGTATATGCAATATACATGTACTTGTTTGTTACATACATATATTTGAAATAGGATATCAAACTATTCAAGGAGAGTTTTTTATCACTACATCTCATTCTATAGATAAAATATTTTATTTGAAGAGCAATGAGATATCAAATTTTGTCTAATTTTGCAAATGATCCCAATATGAATTCTTTCTTTGAATACGCAATATCAATATGAATCTTTCTAAAACAATGACTATCAAAATTTTCAATAAATCTTGTATTACTTCACATTTCCAAAGGATAAGTGCTATAGTTTCTGTCTCAGTCACAGAAAAAGATTATCCATATGAACCTATGTTTATGTAAAAAGAAATTTGTTGCTAATATTTTATAAGATTTATTCATTAATTAAATGCGAAGAATCCCAAAAATTATATGAAATTTTGAAAAGCAATGACATCAAGCCATTAGGTCAAATTAGCTGGAATAGAATTTTTTTAAGGTGTAATATCCCTCTGATAAGAGAGATAACTTTCTGAAGACAATTTTGATAAGAGAGGTAACTCTCTGATGACATTTTCCACGAAATTCAATGAATTGTTACGTCAGATTTTACGGATATCATTAATCAGGACGACTTTTAGTCCAATTCACTCGAATCTGTTTTAATGATCAGATGTTAATATCTAGTTTCTATTGCCGATCTTTTTTATTAATTATTTATAATAGTTTACCTAAAACATTTATACCTTGTGCCTTTCAACAGTGTAAATTGAGATATTTCTATCGCTTAACGTATAATTCATTTAATTTTTATAGAAATTTCAGATGCAAAATTGTTTATAAACATGTAATTAATATTTTGTTTCAAAATAAAATATTTTTAAGGGCGATAACTGGAAGATAACTCTTGTTGATGGATGCGTATTATTTTACAAGCGCATAAAACATTTTGATATTCTGATTTAAAAAGCAACGCTTCAATATGTTTTCTAATGAGACTTAGATGGATATGAGAGTAATTATTATTTTCATGTATATCTCATATTTCTAATTTTATTGTGAGATAGAAAATAATTGATCTTTCTATTTACCACATCAAATTTTCTTCACATCATGATTTGATATATTATTCATTTCTGAAAAAGTAAGCAACGTCTTCAAGCTTCAAACTATTTTCCATCTGAATCTAATGCTATTGTTGTTGATGAAAATCAATGTTTGGAATTTAAAAAAAAATGGTGAAATTTGGAGCAGAGGGATATTTCCCCTTAACTTATCGTCGTGTACCCTAAATTCGTCCGTACCCTAAATTCGTCCCCAAACTTCTCGAGACCAGCACGTTTCGAACTTTGTATCGATGACGTCATTTTTAATTGTTATGACTAGTGAACACAATGATGCAACTTTTTCAGCAATTATTTTTCAGAATTTGCAGTTTCAACTAGTATTAAACTTAAATAAAATAAAAATACTTAAAATATCTGATTTTTCATTAAGTCCATGTTTTATTGAAAGTGTACACGGCAGTTATTCCCTAAAATTACTTCCAGATCAAATATTCCTTCATTTTATTATTTTATACCTGTCATTGTATTGAATTACGTGCGTGGGCTTTTAATTTAAGAATTTGATAAAAAAGAAATCAACGCTCAAAAATCATAAGGATCCTATACACTTTTCACCTACGATATTGACGTTACCTGTGTTTGGTTGACGTACTATGCGGCCATGCGGGTATCCGTAATTATTTCAGGGAAAAAATCTAAGTCATCACTGCAAATGACAGTCTCCACAAAAATCAAAGATTTTAACAGTCATTTAACTAACAGCTGTGAATGCTTCCAACAATAGATATTCTGTTGGTACTACAAATTAAAACAATTTATACCGTCTGTGCTGCTGATTTTCCCTTTTCTTGTGTGTGTGTTTTGTTTTTATTCAGTTTTATATAATCGAGATTTTTTCTATACAGGAATATGTTATTGAGACGGCAAATAAATAAAACCAAATATATTATATCAAAAATATTTCCCATACATAAGAATTATTATACCACCCCTTTAAAAAATCAATCTTTCAACATGACCAAGCATTGATGATCACATTGTTTGAATGATCTACTTTTGACCTTGCCCAGTCGCCAGTCCTCATCACCCACCCCCCTCCCCCTTGCTTGCAAAAAAGTCGGTAAGTGGTCAAGTAATCAAGAAGAAAATATTTTATTTCTATACAAACCAAGAATTTATTTTATTGAACAGTCCAAACAGTCGTTTTATTGAGCCGACCAAAGAAGGTGTATTTTTGTCACAATTTTTACTAGTTTGACAGGTGCTACGTCACGTGCATTGAAGCATAACTAATCCCGGCGTCTACTGGGTCGAACTTCACAATATCATCAAGTAAAACAAGATCTTTTCTGCGAACTCTTTTATTTCTCATCTACTGCAGAGCTAGTAGATGAAAAGTTTTTTTTCCCTGTAACGTGAATATTTCACACATTATTATAATAATTAGGTGATCAATTCAAGTCTACGCATTAAATTTTAGTATTCATATTGTTTTTTTTTTCCAGATTATGCAAGAATTGCACTGTTCAAATATTTTGATTTTCTATCGGTTTTTGCAAGTAAGGTCAATAAATTTTGGAAAATCTAAAAACATAGTATAATTTGCATATCAGGTAATTTGATGAGCATACATGACATCGTTGACAATGTTAATCTGAAAGCATGCACGTTCGTGTTTTTTTTTTAATTTTGTTAAAGAAAACGGAGTCGGTAATAGCGAAAGCAATTTGATGTTCTTAAATTGATAATTAAAAATTTAAAATTTAAAATTAACAATTAAAATTAACAATTTTTATTTTAATGATTTTCCAACCCTTTTTTAATCACAAATCACGGGAAAACAAATAGACCAATCATCTGCGGCCGTTTTATATCTGAAGGACGAAAATAGGGTATGGGTGATATTTTTAAGTGTAAAAGTTTGATTTTGTAGAAGAGTTCTAAAAATCTTGTGAAGAGTGGTAAGAAAAAATAATTTTTAACATTTAATCCGCAATTCCATTCTATAACTAGCACTGAAGTTTGTTCATCAATTTGCACGCGCTCGTCGTTACTATGACGTCAAATGTCGTAAGGGGACGATTTATGGGTACACTAGGATAAATGATATTGAATGGGAGAAAATTTATTCTTTTCCTTTTAAGCTCACAAAAGATAAAAAAAAACTTCAGTGGTTTCAGCTCCAAATTACTAGACGAAAAAAGTGCTGAGAATCCCAAATTTTACCGATATTGTTTGATAATTACCGAGGAGGTGCTGTTTTTGCTGATAAACACTGATATTTACTGTTGTTATTATTGCTGTCGTCGCTGATAAATTTAGTTGTTTCAGATAAATACTGATAATAACTGTCGTCTTAACTGTTGAGTCTGATAATTATTGATAAAAACTGTTGATGTGCTGTCGATGCTGAGATTAACTGATAATTACTGTGATCATTTTTTTTAATTTGAGAAGTGACTAAAATACCTTGAGAATTGATTATATTTGTTTTAAAGAAAGTATTTCATCAACAAACTCATTACAGTATACTTACAAAAAATTATTATAAATTAAAAAGACACCTTTAATTTTTGTCACATTTCATGAATTAATTTTATTGTAATCATTTTTACATCCTAATGTTAAAGTAAGGTCATAAATGTGTTTTTCTTTATTTCTATATTTTTCTTACTAAAGGTTGTTAATATCTGAGGAAAATAATTGTGTTGTTATTGCGGTGTTTTTCTCCTAAGTACTAATTTAAAACAAATTGTTTTATTTTTAAATTTTTAAAGGTTAAGAAAATCCCATCTAATATTTTTTCCACGTGTATTTGTACTACCTTCAAACGATTTTAGGGGGCATCTTTCATATAGTCAATGGATGTTATTGTCAATTTATTTTTCCATGTGGGGAACTGAATATGTATGGTCTCAATTAGTTGAGACCCCCACCCATTCACAAACAACTCTCAATTTACGAAGAAACTTTGGACAGTATCAGGTATTTCTCACAAGAACAATCTATTCTGATTTTATGTTTCCTACACTACGTCCTTTTATTTAAGAATGTGGCAGGTGTAAATAATAGAAATAGAACATGTTTAAGAGCTAGGCTCACTTTATGCATAAAATGGCCCTGTACTTATATCAATCAATTAACTATCACCCTATTTCCCATTTCATATATCAAAATTAAATAGACACTTGGTGCTTTCATTTCCTATAATACATTTTTTTGAGAATTTAGATATCTGAAAACAGGCTATGAGAAACTGCAATGTTCTTGAAATTGGCAGAAAACATGAAATGACTACCTTCAGCAAAGAATTAAAATATGAGCACAACCCACGATCCCAAAAAAAATGTTTTTCAATCTTCAGAAACATATCTTTCATTATGTATTTGCAAATTTTGGATCAGAGTTGTGCTCTGTATGAAATATTGAAAAAATACTTCAACGTTCGGCCATTTGTAAAGAAATTTACAGGATATGAGGAAAATGACGCATTTTATGAGGTCATAATGCATTGACTAGAGGGAAAATGACGTCATGATTAATAGATACTAGTACGTGCACGTGGTCACCAACACTCCATGCAATAAATACTGCATTTGCAACCTTAACTAAGCGATTTTAATTTTTCAGAAATACTCAGGGCAAAACAACATGAATTAGGCCCAAAGTGGCACTTGCTTTTTGTAGAATATGTGTAGCCAGTGCTTGAACTGTAGTACTCTGATTATGCGAATGCGAATTTTATAGCATTGTGTGATATCAACACGCTCTATCTTTCGTTTTTTCCCCCAAATTTTATTTGTACACTATAAATCTTATGCAGTGTGATTTTTCGAAGAATGCTACATATCTATTTTGCTCTCATATTTGAGTATCATTTGTTTTAGGTATCTATATATTCGCTGAAGCCAAAGCATCTTCTAACATCAGGATACATTATAAAATTTAAAAAAAAAAACTCTTTAAATATGCTTATTTACATTTTAACTTCAAAAGAATTGTGTCTGTGTATAAGAGTGTTCTCTTTAAAAGAGTCCGTATTATCTGTGATTAAGTTAAAAAATGCACTAGAATAAATATTTATTTTCAAATAACACTCAAGTTGATTTGATTTTGCTTTTGCAACTCTATTAATCAAGGTTAAGGTGTTTCGTTTCTGACGAAATTGAATTCACCGCGCAACTCGAACTGCCGGAAATTGGTCTGAATGTCGTTATAATAAAGAATTCAATACGGCAGAGAATTAATAGTTTCTACAAATAATTATAATCATCATCCATAGAAAGTAACATAATAACGATTTTTTATGCCAGAAAACAAACATATAATAAGCATTTTACATTTCGCGGATGTGAACCGGATTACGATAATGTAAACAAAAAGCAGACGAGAAGTCAAGGTCTGCGCGGTAACTTTGGTTGAGATGGTGAAACCAAAGTACAGACGCCATGGGTTCGTCTCGAAAAAGCAGAAGGAGAGATATGATAAAGTATCTGCAGGGCAATTGACTCGATGGATTAGGGGAGCTATCCTTACAGACCACAATTACTCCGCCAGTGCAACCCCTGTCAGCGTTGATCACGATCACGGTTTGTACATGTAAAATACGTAATCTAAAAGACTCGTTTTCATATCTGCATCTAAATTACCATGATTACACATAGGTCTATTAAAAATATTAGAAATATTAAAGGGAGGTACATGAATTTGTTGATGTTCATTTTATATACCAGGTCTAATCTAAAGACTTTTTGAACTATGACTACGTGTAGCTATTTAAAAAAAAATTATAATAGTTAAAGATGTGCACCAAAAGAGAAGATATTGAATTTTTCTCAATATTTCATTGAAAAACAACATGACATAACTAAGACATTGAAAACTTGTTTTTATCAAGTATATAATTGAATTTTCAAAGATATATTTTGATAAAAACAAGTTTTCATCTGATCATGCTGATTGACAACAAAGTTTTAAAAATATAATTTTTTTTTGGGGGGGGGGGGGGGATTTTATTGAAAACCACATGGCCTATTGTAATCAAAGTGCAACATGGAAATTTGAATCATATTTGATAATAATAAATTTAACTATACATGATGTTATATGTGGATTTCAATAAAATATATATATACTAGGCCTAGCTGTTACAAAAAAAAAATTACATTTGCTGAATCAGATGTCTTAAAGTACCTTACATGACAATACTAATCAAAGATAATTACTGTATTTTATTTTAATACACTGCACGTGATGAAAGATATACTCATTTGACCCACAGGCCTTTAGATCACTTAGAAAAAAAATTGAGGTGTTAAAAAAAAAATAAAGGTATGGAACTCTTTTCATAGGGTACCTACTTTCACCAATAAAATTCTTTTAAATTGAATGCTTTACAAATTTACTTTTTATCCATATCTATCCATATATAAACAATCTTCATTCCTTCAAATTTCATTCCGTAATTCCTTATACTTCTTAAGATATTATGAAATCAATTCCGAAATTGACCTAAATTTTTTTAATTGACATCAGCTTGCCAATGGGCCCAACACTAATTGTTACGCGGGAACGACAGGACAAATTTTCTCCAAAGTCTATTCTAAACTCAATGAATATTTGCTCATTTGAATTTGAGATTTACATGATTTTTCTTTAATTGGATCATATGATCTTACTAAGTCACAAACAAAATGTTAGCGGTCTAATTGTTTTGAAAATAGAAAGGTATATAATCATGATAATGCATTACGGGAAAAAATTGTTCAACCATATAGCTTCTTTTACATTCATAATCAAAATGGCGGTGTAGTTGTTGATGCAGATTTTAACTTATTAATACAGACTACTTAACCTTACAATCTGGAGTAAGAAATCAACTTTAAAATGTTGAAAGATCTTGCAAATGCTATGCAACTCTTCGCTGCACCTCATACACCGTCTGTTTACATGTGAATGACCAGGGGCCCAAGCAAATGTCGAGTAAAAGAAAGTAGATCATATTTTAGATTGATTTCAGAATATCTTGAGAAATATCGGTATATGGAAAAATATGTTGTATATCGGCACTATGAATTATTTTGAAAACTGGTTCTTGGAATTTAGTAAGTGTATCTAAACAGTCAACTAGTCAGGATGTGTTACAGTAGATAATAAAGAATGTGTAATGGTGATAATTTTTATTCATTATTCATAGAATTGCCAAATTTGAATATACTGGAAAGAGAGGAGGTGGTGGATGGGGAAGAAGTGACTACATCTGAGGATTGGAAGGAGGGGAGGAGAGTAGTAGAACTTGGAGTGTTAGCTGAGGGCTTGCGGGGATGTTGTAAATGTGGCTTACCATTACAACTTTCACACACTATTTCTGTGTTGACATATGGTTTAGCCTCTTTGTTAAAGGTATGAACTCACCAATTTTTGCACAGTTTGTATAAAAACAACCTTGAAAGGTTTTTCCTTGAATTTTTCTCCATATAAAACAGGCAGTATTCCATATATCCATATTTTTAGTTTTGAAAGATGTTACATTTTTTTCTTTGAAGTAATTTGAAGTAATGCATATTTAAATTCTTTTTTTCCCAAGCATTTGATTTCATTAATGGTGAATGAATTTAGAACAGTGACCTGTAATTAGGGATTCATTGATTTTACATTAACATTTCAGGTCTGTTGCAGCAATACAAAGTGTAATCATATTAACCATGTAAAAACGGGGAAAAAACATGGAAGAGTGTGGGATGTAAATACAAAGCTATCAGCAGGTAAGAAGTTTAACGTACACATCCCCTACATCAGTTACATGTATATTTATTATTGTCAAGTCACAAGAGCCTGATTGAGTTTTACCTGTCTATTCCAATATAAGCAAGTTTGTTGTCCCCCTCAACAGCAACTTGGACGCACCTTGAGAAATTGTTGCTGTCTTGGGGGACAATAAACTTGCTTTTGTCCTCATAGCCAGTAAATAGGTATATGTATCTATAAATTGATATAATCAGTGGCGGATTTAAGGGGGGGCACACCCGGCGCGCACCCCCCCTGAAATTGTCAAAGTTAGCATAAAACATAGTTTTGTCGAGGAAATGTTTCTGATGTCTACTTGGTAAACCTCATTTTTACCCTACAAAACCTCTAGACTCCAAGAGCTTCGGGGGGCTTCGCCCCCTTGGCCCCCACCAGGGCTTTGCCTCAAGGCGGCCCCCAGACCCCCTGCCTGAATCTGGCGCCCAACCCGCCAGGGTTCGACACTAACATTTTTCGGCGTTGGTCTAGCCGGACTAGTGTATCTTTAATTTTATTAGTCCACAGGCAATTTTATGAGTCCGTCAAAAATATAATTAAACAATAGAATTTACATTTCAAGGTACTTTTTATACTTTTTTTGTAATAAACAAAGCATGCGTTTACATGAAATGTTTTATACCAATATTTGTTGAAATTGCCTGATCAGGAACTAGGATCGTGTTCCCAATCTCATATTCTCTATAAATGATTACGACATCCAAATGCCCGACATCTTTCTTTATGAGTCATGATAAATCATAATCCCTAAAATGTTTAATTTCATTCCAATGAGTCCTAAAATTAAGTGCCGAATTGACTCAGAATTACATAACTTTCCGCCAAGATGCAAGAAAGCTAAAAATACATACGGGTTTTCCAGTGAAAGTTGTCGAGAACTTCGGTAATTTTTTCCCCCAGAAAACTTTATTAGTCCATTCGGACTAATACGCCACAACTTTTATTAGTCCAAATGAAAATGTATTAGTCTGAGACTTATTAGTCTGAGACTAACGGACTAACGTTAATGTCGAACCCTGCCCGTCTAACTTCAATTCCTGGATCCGCCCCTGATAATGTTTAATTCAGAATAAAAACTTGATGAGAAGGCAAGCTATTTTTAACTTATTGAAGCCAGAGGCTCATTTCAGCTTTCTGATCTTTTTCCATTTATCTGTCTGTCAACTTTTCAAAATATGCTTTAAAGGAGAGGGAAGTGGGTACTGGTATACTGTTTTACTCTTGTGTTTTACCACACAGTCACACCTTGTTTTGGCAATATGCCATATGATGGAATTCACTTTTATAGAAATCCAATGTCTGCTTCCTATTTATCCATGTGTCTGCCTGTATATTCACAAAAGAACCTATATTCACATCATAGAAAGGGTATAACAAGTTAGAATGGGACTTTTTTTGATTTGTTCTCTAAACCACTTGACTATTCAGATGGAAAAAATTCTCTGTAGAACAGCAAAGCCTTATTACTGTATTAAACATATTGATATTGAATCATCCTAATGTAGATCATTTCAAGTTTTGTTGCCATTACCCCTAGGGGTTTAGTTTGTTAAAAGTATGGGTTCTATTTTTAATTTCTGGTAATAAAGAGAGAAAATAAAGGAGACTAAGATGAGTGTTGTATTTCACAAGCTTCTTGTTTAAAGTGATTAGATTGATTTCTTTTTTACATTTATGAATTTGTATTTACAGCAATTGTACATGTTGGTATTGGTGCAACACAAGTCAACAGTCTCCTTTCTGAGCTGAATATACCACCTGTAAGCCATGCCATGCTGGACAAAAGACAGAAAGAGATAGGCAGAGCTGTTGAAGATATTGCTGCAGAGTCTATGTCTGATGCTTTGCAGAAGGAACTGGAAATGATGAATGAGTGTGTAAACAATATAAATTCAGTTTAAATCTCACTATTTAGCTCAAATGAGCCAAAGGCGCAATAGAGCTTTTCTGATCAGATCAATGGGTGTCTAGCATACATGTGTAGTGGTCATATGGTATAACCTGTGTTGGTTAAGTCACAATTACAAACATGTATGTCACAAACATAACAACCCATTTAATTTTACATATAAGATACATGTATGTACTAATTGCATGCATCTTTGAAGGAAAAATTGTCTTATTTTCTTTACTTATTGATGGAGAATTAAATTATAAGGAATTAACTTCATAGTTATCCAAGTTATAATAGTGTAACCTGCTTTGAAATGAAAGCCTCGCTGTATAGAAAGCCAAAACTGGCACAACCCAGGATATACAGTATAACTTGGGTAGCTATTAAATTCATTCCTAGAATGAATTAAAAAAGGAAAATTTGATTGAAGAAAAAAAATTGAAGAGTGACAGAGACACAGTCTAATCAAAATTAGATGTTAGATCTGCTCGCATAATTGCTACACTAGCATCTAACAACATCCTATAGAGGGTCACTCAGAGTTCAAATTCGGAACAACCCTAGACTTATTTTCTTCAATTGCGTCAACAAATAAACAATGATTTTGCAAGAGACAATTTGATTGGTTGATTAGAATTTGACCTCTGACGTGACCCTCAATGAGATGTTGTTAGATGTTTGTGTAGCGAGTATGCAAGTGGATCTAACAAATAATTTTAATTAGATTGGACAGAGACAGTGACTTCCTAGAGTATTGTGGCCCAAGCCCCAAGAGCCTCGTGTTTTAGTTTTGATCCCCAAATGAAAATCATAGGGAATACCTAATAATAATTGATAGTGATCAAGTTAATAGAATCTGATATACTGATAAATATAAGGTTTAGTCATGTACAGTATAATTTGTGTTGATAAATATGCAGAATGTTATGCACATTAGGGGGTGTTCTAAAGGAGACAGGTTCACAGTTAATAACTGATGTCTGTTATTTAACTATTTTTCAGAGAGATGAACGAAAATGGACTAGTTGTTGCTGTAGATGCTGGATGGCAAAAACGGGGTAGCGGAAAGACATATGATAGTTTATCAGGTAAAAATACTGTAAAAGCACAAATATTCGGGGGAATTAAATTTTGTTTATTCCGTTAACAAAATTCCAACAAAATTAAATCCCACACGAAATTTTATATGACTATATATTGAATAGGGCTTTAAAAAAATATGTTTGTTTCCTGTAACATTCCAAAAAAATTAAGGGTCGGTAGGTCGGGATTTTTTTTTTTCTTATGAATTGTCAAACATCCCTGGACTCAATATACCAGGTGTCATATTTACAGTGGACACCCAACATGGCATCCAAAATGGCTGCCTAGCGGCGGAAAACGATCTTCAGAAAGTTGTAGGGGGAAATTGTTGTTATAATAATGATTACTCTTTATAACTAATCAAACTTAAATGTAAACTAGGTTGACATATTTTATGTCTCAAGTTAAGCTACAAGCTAATTTTCTTTTTTTAATAAATGGAATCAGCTGATTGATCAAACGAAGTTTTGCCATTTGTCAGAAAAAAAATTCACCCGGGGGGTAATTTGAATGGGTCGGTCGGGTTACAGGAAACAAACATATTTTTTTTAGACCTAGGGTTAGTTTTAAAACAACGACGAGATTATTTTTGATGTCAAAACAACAAAATTTTATGCCCACGAAACAGATGCAATAAATTTAGAAAGACACATATCTCAAAGTTCAACTGTCCATATAAATTGTAAAATATTCTTCTAAAGAACAGCCATGAATAGTTATGTTGCTCATGCAGGTAAAGCATATTCAGTTTTGTTCGAAATATGGACCCAAGGTGGGATGATGGAGCCAAAAAAGGATATAATGTTTACACGGGAATATATATAGGAGAAAAATCATTAAGAGTCATAATGAGTCAAATCAAAATATTAAAATATTAGGTGATTTTACACAGTTAGCGTATTCGCTAATCGCTCTATGGCACGCAACCAATTTTTAACGACACTTATTAGAAACATTATTTACCAAAGCATTGTCAATACTTAGAACACTAACTTCAAAGAAGTAGGAATTTGGTCCCTATTGCATCCTGCAAACACGTTTTATAGCAACTGTTTACTTTTTTAAAGTTGAACGATTTGCATTAATTATACAGCACCCCTCATGAAAAATAAATATTTGACCTAATTATGCTATAGTGCACTGGACGCACAGGTTCATTGCTGACTAAAGGGGTTAAAGGTTATTACTAAATGCATACATGTAACATCAGTGATCGAGTTTGATTTTCCTTGCCAAAGTATTAAGACATACATTTTATTAAGTTAAGAAATGCATGAAAAATGCTTTAATAAAAACAACGAATACATCTATAAGTTATACAGTTTTTCTAATTTGTAATTTTTCAGGTCATTGTTCCATGGTTGGTCCTCTCTCCGACAAAGTATTGTCATACTCTCTGAGGTCTAAGAATTGCAGAGTATGCAGTGTAGCTGAATCAACCAACAAGAATCCAGCAGCCCATGAGTGCTCAAAGAATTGGGAGGGTAGTTCAAAGGCCATGGAGGCAGATATGGTTATTGAGATGGTCCAAGATCTACAGAAAAGTAAAGGAATAACCATTGATGGAATCATTGGAGATGAGGACTCTACCACTATTGCAAGACTGAAAGCTAATGTCAATGCTGATATTAAGAAGTTGTCTGATAAAAATCATCTAAAGAAACTGTTTACAAACTCTTTGTTTACCTTGAAGAAAAAACATTCATCTCTAACTTTGTCTGTGATAAAGTACATTCAGAAATGCTTCAGTTACTCCATAGCACAGGGAAAAGGAAATGCTTCTCAAATCAAAGAAGACCTTTCATCAATTCCATTACACATATTTGGAGATCACCAACACTGCTCCTCAAGGTGGTGCAACTTCATTAACAACCCTAACCTGAGGTACAAGTCACTTCCACATGGAAAACCCCTGAAAGATAGGTTCCTTCAGGATGATCTGAAAGAAGTCTTCAGTTCATATGCAAGTCATTCTGATCGTCTTTCATGCTTAGGAAGCACACAGTCCAATGAGAGTTTTCACAGAATGGTGTCTGCAAAAGCCCCAAAGACCCATCATTACAGCTCTTCTTCAAGCCTCAGATATAGAGTTGCTGCATGTGTAGCCCAGAAAAATGTTGGACACAGATATCTTGTAAAGGTTTGTAAATTTTTATTTTTTCATGCTTATTGTGTCATATCTGAGTTGAACCACTCAAGTTATCTCTTACATTTGAAAATTCTGCAAATTTTAATCAAAAGCAGATTGTATTGTATATGTATGTACATTGTAGTTGTACATAATAGATTCTTTTATCCTTATTAAAGGTTAACAAGAAATTGGGCCTCTCTCCTGGCTACTATACTCGACGACAGTGCATTCTGAGGGATTTGCAAAGAAAGCGACAGAAGGCCATTTCAGTGACACAGAAATTTAAAAGGAGAAGGAGAGAATTGAAAGCCAGGAAGTACGTACTAGTATACTTTGATTGTCATTTGTCAGGTGTAAAAAACCTTTTGTCAACCTCAAAAATGAAAATAAACCAAGAACAAGTGAATGATGATAAGTATGAATTTAAGTGGGAATTAATATCTTGCATGTTACTAAGATTTGTTTTCTGAATCACCAAAGATTTACGGTATGCTTGTTATAAATAGCATGGTTTGATAAATATTTTTTTCAAAGAAGGGAGGGCATATTGCTTTGCTGCAATCTTAAAATAAAAATTTTACCTACCTACATACCCAGTTTTTTAGCTCACCTTAGCGGAAAGCTCAAGTGAGCTTTACTGATAAAAATGTATCTGTTGTCATTAACTTTTCACATTTCCATCTTCCTCTCAAGAACAACTAGGCCAATTTCAACCAAACTTGCTACAAAGTTAGTATCCACTGGGCCAGGTAAGATGAAACTCATATGGAATCATCTTCAGGTAGTGTAGATTCAAGTTTGTTCAAATCTTGACCCTGGGGGATAGGGTGGGACCACATAGCCAATCAAAGTTTTACACAGGAATATATAGAGAATTTGAAATCTTTAAAAATCTTCTCAAGGACTGCAAAGCCATGATAAGTGATATTGAAATGAAATCATCCTCAGGTAGTGTAGATTCTAGATTGTTTAAATCATGACCCCCAGGGATAGGGTGGGGCCACAATTACATTTTACAGTACAATATATTTTTTAAAAAATTCTCAAGAATAGCAAAGCTATGATTGGTGATATTAATATGGAAGCATCCTCAGGTAAAGTAGAATTAATTTTTTTTTTCAAATCATACATGGTGGATCAAAGTTTTACATAGGAAAATAAAGGGAAAAAATCCCCCCCCCCCCCCCCCCCCCCCCCGAAAAAAAAGAGAAGCTATGTTTAGTCATATGGAAATGTAAACATCCTCATGTATTGAAGATTTAAATTTGTTTAAATCCTGATCCTTTGTGGTAGGGAGGGAAACAGTGGGGAATCAAATTCAAATTATTACTAAGTAATATATACGAACAAAATGTTAAAAAAGTTATATGCTGTATTGATATGGAGGCATTCTTAAGTAGTGATAAAATTTAAGCCCCCCCTTCAGTAAATTACATGTACCATAACTTTTCTATTCTGGTCTACTTTGTGCTCTTTCCTTGCCGATGTGCTCAGGATTTTCATTTATTTACAACTCCTAATTTATTAGCTGTACATTAGGTGATTGTTTATTTTGCTAGGCCTTTTGTAAGACCTCAGTTTAGAATCATTTGTTTTACAGTATACATCTTCTTTACAGAATTCAAAGTATTTCTACAAAAGAAACAAGGGAAGGCATCAGTTATTTAACAGGATGTGATCTCCAGCAGGCCTCTGACATCGTTGAAATTCCAGCTCCAAAAACAATTCCAAAGTATGATCATCTCCCTTCAAGTCAGCTGTTAAATGCTGAAGAGATCTATTTTGATTTGGAAACTACTGGACTCGGTAAGAACCTAGATTTAAATGTTAAGTCAATGCTGATGGTTATGGCCCTCTTCCGGTATTTCTTTTGTATGCATTTTGAAGGAATAATACTAAAGTTATCATAGAAAACGAATAGAAATGGAGACTCTTGCATAATTCCGGTATTGGTACAAGTAGTTGAGCATGTTTTATATCTTTCAAAACTTTACCCTTCCTTCTGAGGACACTGATTAAAAAGAAATTGCATATTCTGAAAGAATTCAAGCATCTTTGAAGGAGTTAAGTCTTGGGGAAGAGGGTTACTATTATTATAATGTTTCAAAATTTTTTAAATCATGCATACTGTAAACGGATTACATTTGGCTGTGTATTCTAATAGCGGATTTGGCGAAACGCAGCAACCGCTAAATCAAGTACAACGCTAAATGTCTTGCACATATACACATAAAGAAGAAAATGAAGAAATGCGCTAAATCAAATCTACGCTTACTTATTCAAAAGTCAATTTCTGCCAAATATCATACATGCTAAATATAATACATTTACAATATATCAATTTTTGTATGTATTTTTTTTAATGCTTTTAATTTTAAAAACTTGAATTTACTTAAGGAATGAATTAAATAGCAACCCAAATTATACTGTATTACCTGGGTTGGGGCAGTTTACGCTTTCTAAACCTCAAAGTGGTTTATAAAAAAGCGTAAACTGCTCCAACCCAGGTTGTAGCAGTATAATTTGGGTTGCCATTTAATTCACTCCTTATGATTTAATTTTCAATCATCAAGAATATAAAACAAGACAAATTTTCTCTTTATAACGCCTTCAAATAGTTCATATTTTAAACGTAACGTCAAGCGGATTGATACAATTTGATGTAAGTCATTGTGACGTAAGCAAACCAGATTATACAATTTAGATTAATTTTTTATCCAATCAAATGATGCGTTACAATCAAAATTAAATTATTTGTTTTTTTATTTTTAGCAAGGGATTCTCATATTGTGCAGTTGTCTGCAGTTAGAAATGATGAGGTTTTCAACAAATACATCATTCCAGAAAAACCAATGTCCTCAAAAGCTACAGAAATTACTGGAATAAAAGTAGTCAACAATAAAATGTACCACAATGATGAGGAAGTTGAGACAGTCAGCATTAAGGATGCACTGATCCAGTTTATCGACTTCATGAAGAAATCGGAGTCAGATGCTGTTCTAGTTGGACACAACTCCAAAGTGTTTGACCTTCCTGTGCTGTTCAACATTTTGAGTAAATTAAACATTTTGGAGGCATTCTCATCTGCAGTCATTGGTTTCATTGATACCTTACCTCTTTTCAAAATTTCGCATCCAAACCTTTCATCATACTCACAGTTACACCTCTTCGAAGAAATTCTACAAGACAAATACAGTGCGCATGACTCATTACAGGATGTCTTAGCCTTGAAGAGATTGTTGGACCATACAGGACCTTCCCCTGAAGTCAAACTTGCTGCATCTTTCACTTCAAACTCTGCCTTTGCCATATTCCATCACAAGAGCACAACAAAAAGTCTAATGAGCACACTAAAGCCTTTATTGGACCAAAAGGTGATTTCGAATGGAATGGGAAATAAGATTGCCAGCAGTGGACTCTCCTTATCACACTTACAACTGGCTTATCGCAGAAATGGTAGGGAGGGAGTACAGGATGTGCTGACAGAGATAACAGATAACAGTGTGCGTGTGACAAAATCTAGAAAAATCATTGATTCTGTCGCAGATTTTCTCAGATCTGAGCAGTAACGCAGTTGTATGATGTTCTTTGTATGTAACTATGTTATTGTTTGTTTGGTTGTTTGTTTGTTTGTTTGATTTCTGTGAGCCAGTGCTCACTAGTAATACCCTCACTCTGATGTGAATATGGACAGACAGGAATAAACAAAGTTAATTGACAATGGATTCGTACAAAAATGAATCCAACCATATTTCATGTCTAAAAAATTTCAAGCATCTGTGATGAGTAGTTGTGGAGAAAACTGTGACAAAAATTTATTATTTGTGGTACAGACAGATGCACAGATAAACAGGAAGTTGACATCAGATTCGTCTAAAACCAATTCCAACGGTGATGAGTAGTTGTGGAGAAAACTGTGACAAAAATTTGTTATTTGTGGTACAGACAGATGCACAGATAAACAGGAAGTTGACATCAGATTCGTCTAAAACCAATTCCAACGGTGATGAGTAGTTGTGGAGAAAACTGTGACAAAAATTTATTATTTGTGGTACAGACAGATGCACAGATAAACAGGAAGTTGACATCAGATTCGTCTAAAACCAATTCCAACTGTGATGAGTAGTTGTGGAGAAAACTGTGACAAAAATTTGTTATTTGTGGTACAGACAGATGCACAGATAAACAGGAAGTTGACATCAGATTCGTCTAAAACCAATTCCAACTGTGATGAGTAGTTGTGGAGAAAACTGTGACAAAAATTTATTATTTGTGGTACAGACAGATGCACAGATAAACAGGAAGTTGACATCAGATTCGTCTAAAACCAATTCCAACTGTGATGAGTAGTTGTGGAGAAAACTGTGACAAAAATTTACTATTTGTGGTACAGACAGATGCACAGATAATCAGGAATTTGACATCAGATTCGTCTAAAACCAATTCCAAATGTGATGAGTAGTTTTGGAGAAAACTGTGACAAAAATTTACTATTTGTGGTACAGACAAATGCACAGATAATCAGGAAGTTGACATCAGATTCGTCTAAAACCAATTCCAACATACGGCATGGCTAAAGAAAGAGTGTGCTAAAACTTAAAGCATCTGTGATGAGCAATTGAGCATGATGAGTGATTGCTGAGAAAAATTGGACAAAAATTTGTTACTGACAGAAAGACACACAAGTGTAGAAAGAAAAACAGTATAAACCCTGTGCTTCAGAGCAGGGGTATAATTATGCCATGAACTATTGTTTTTTTCAATGTTTATTGTTATAGGTAGTTTGTAGTTGAACAAAACATTTTCTTTCCATTCAAAATAAATCCTTATTTAGAAATTGACAACAATTTATTTTCATTACCCATATTTTGAGCATACATGAAAAATTAAAAGGTGTTCATTGATATTTATTGAAGAAGACTATGTGCATATTAAATTGAAACATGCACAAATGAATATGAAAAGACATTCTGTAAATGTTTAATATTGTGTATGACCTATACTTGGCAGTAATCTATTTTTCAACAATCGGGCTAGGTTTGATTTCTAGCAAAATTTTTATTGTGTACTTATAAATACGCAGGTCATAAAGTTAGCGATGTTCTTGAAATAGCAACAGCAGTTTTCTGTCAAAGGCACAAAAAATCTAATGTTTGCAGTATATAAAAATGTTGTACCCCGGTATGTTACTTGTAAAGGTAACAATTTGATAGATCTCTATCACAAGGAAACATGGATCTGAATAAAGTTAAATAGTTGATCATTTTTCATCTTGAATAAAGAACATTTTGTTTGATACAATGAAATCAAGAGAGATTTACATTGCATGACGCAAATTAAACTAGCTGTTATTGGTACAACTAGTAGTTCAAAACATTCATTTAGTCTTTTTTTTTATTCCCTTCATTTTCAATAACTGGAATTTTGCTGTGAAACGTTTATAGTGAAATGATTACTATGTGGTGGTTTTTAGCTCACCTGACACGGAAGCCCGAGTGAGCTTTTCTGATCAAAGATTGTCTGGCAATCGGTCTTTTGTCTGGGGTGTGTAAAGTTTGATATATTTTATTTCTTTGAAAGACCAACTGGCCCAATTTCAATTAAGGGGATTTAACTTTGTTCATAGGAAGTGTCTCGCCCTCTTGAAGTGGGGGGTAATTAAGAATTTTGGTGGCATTATTCAAAAATCTTCTGAAGAACCACTGAAGAAAAGATGACATTTACGTGAAATTTAGCTTCATTACATACCCTATATTCAATAATTCCTGGGGGAAGGATGGGCCACAAGTGGAGCAAAGTATGCATAGAAAAATATTTGAAATGTCTGTAAAATTCTCTCAACTCAGAACAGGCAAAGCCATGATTAGTCAAACTATTAAAGAATTATCCTCAGGTAATGTGAGTGGGCATGAAAATAGATGAAAATAGATATTAACCCCCCCCCCCCCACACCCACCCTCCCCTCTTTCCCCTAAGTCTTAAATAGTCCCCCAAAAAATGAAATGTCCCTTTTCTTTTAAAGAAAAAGATTGAGTTTTAATACACTTATTCATTTAGGCAAATAGAAAATCCCCCAAAATCATGGAAGAGGCAAACAGAATCAATCCGAATTTCCTCTGGTCAAAATTTGAGAAAAATGGGTCAGAGGAAATTCAAGTTAAAATATCTTTAAAAGTAACTCATATTGATATACAATTTTTTACACCATTTGAAAGCACTTCATCTAAGTAACAAATATATAGAAAAAAAAATACTTGATAATTATTTCTAATTTATTTTCCAAGCTCATTTTATAAGCCCTGTGAAAGGGAAAAAAGGCATTTTTTTGTATGAGGGTGTGTGCTTTTTGATAAGAATTAAATTTTATCTTCTATCAATTATCATTATTATTTTATCAATATTTATATTCCCTATGACTACTTTTAAAAGATAGCAAAAGGTTGGAATGATTTGAAAACATTTCATAGTTTAAAATAAATATTAAATATGTTGGACACAAATTTGGTCTTTTTCTTTACTAAAATGAGAGAATTACCTCCCTTTGTCAGGAACACCTATAGCTTGAAAATTAAATCATATTCATATGCATTTTTCTGGCTTAAAATAATTTATTATGTTTATTCTTACAATTAAAAAAGAAGAAAATCATTTTCAATTATTTTTAATGTCAGAAGCCAAACACCTTAATATTTGGATGTTTTTCGGATTAAAAGATAAAACACATCTTTTGATACCAAGTTTACAATTTAATCTATTATAGGATGGGCTGACGGCAGGAATTCTGAGTGAGCATAGATCTAACACAGAAAGGTATATGAATATTTCTGGTACTCGATCTTTAAATGAAAAATGAACATATAGCTATATTTGTAAAGAAAACATAGTATCAAACTGTATATGTAGTTAGTTATCATACTAAGAATGCACATAAATCAGACTTTGAAGGAAAAATTTAATATATCCACATCAAGAAAGCAAATATGGAATCAATCAATTATTGTTATAAAGCTGAGACGTCGACTTAATACCAAATGCTTAATATAAATTGAAAAAAGTAAAATCATGTCAGATATTAAGATCATAACCAGTACAGAAACGATAAAAAAAATATAAAATCAGTATTTTTTTCACTTTAATAACTCAAGAAGCAACAGGATATTCATTCGCTTTCAATGCGAAGTAACATATGAGAGGATAAAAAATATAGTTATATAATAAAGAGTGGTGTTATGTAATATGGATATATTGATGAATGTGCATCTGTTAGGTTTTTCCTGTCAATCATGAGTTCAAAGAAGTAAAATATACTTTGTTTCCTGTTCCTTCAATCAAGGTTGATGAACTTGATATCAGACATAAAGATGCTGGCAATGACAGTCGAGGACGTCCCTGAACTTAAAGGAGATGACGACGTCTGTCGTTTTGGTTGACTCAGAACTAGAAACGTGGTCTCCATGTGATTCCAATTGAACATTTCCTCTTCCACGGGTATGGAAAACCGGAGGAATTACGTGCATATCTTTGGCGGGGTTCACTGATAAATAACAAGACAAGGAAACGTCATGTAAAAGTGGTTCAGAGAATAAACAATGGTTGTGTTTTTCAGGAAAAATAATATATTGTTGCAATTTCATTAATTATTAAATTCAATCTTATTCGAATAAATATATTCCTATTGGTATAAATGCATTTATGGAACTTAGAATAAATTGTGCTTATCTCATAAAATCTTATAGAATATTTGTTGGACTTTCAGTTTCCGAAATAATGTGTTATATGTAACAAATTTATCTACAAGGGTATATTTATTTATTTTTATATAACATCATTCATCTCAGCTGCAAATATAACGTAGTAATATCCATGCAAATCTTTTTTATGCAGATTTTCGTTTTGAGTAAACGGTAACAAATTTTGATCAAATATTTCTATCTTCATGTAAAAAGGTGCCTAGAAAAGCTAGTGTTTTTTCATAAATATACATGAATGAAGAAATACCTTGACCTTCTCGTCCGCGTCTGTAGTAGGATTATAGATAATTGTAAAGGTAAATAGAAAAAAAAAGTTTATTTGGAGAGGTTCTAACTCTACCTTGTCCACTTAATCCAGGATACAGTGTAAGAAGTATAGATATCTTCATCTTTGTTATTTGTCTGCAGTTCATTTCTCTGTATTAATATTTTTTGTCTTCAGACATTTTGTGTAGCTGTAATGAAGAATCTGTTAGGCATACAACCTCAAATTTTTCGAGCTTTGGCGACACATATTCTATAAATAAACTTCATAAAAATGTTATTGTTTTATCTCTTTGGGGCAATTATTCCTCGTATTTTTGTAGTTGTATTGAATATATCCTAAATCCTGATGAATGTTTTAGTAGATCTAATGTACAAATTTTAGTACCACCGTAAAAAGGTGCATTTAGTGGGGTTTTATGAAAAGACATAATTTTACATTCGACAGCTGACTTTTACATTTTAGTAATTGGAGTTTGTCTCTGTGTAAATTGTAGAATTAAGTCAGTCGTCCATTGTAAAAGTAAGTCTCTTCATAAAATTCCATTAAGCGA